TACTTAACGATATGTATTTTCACCAGAATAAATGCTTGCACCTATAACTGTCTTCTTTCACTCATCACAATGAGCGGGATTTAACAACGCCTAAGCCGATAAAAAAGAAGGTAGAGTTTGTATCAGTATCTATACAGGTTGTCCCAGAAGTCGACGTCAAACCGAAACGGGGTCATAGGCAAAGTCATAACAGCTATCAGAAAATTATTAAAAAAAAATTTATGTATGTGTTTTGAAAATTATAGGTCTTTGAAAAAGATATAGAAATTTCACACCCTACGGCAGTCTGTCAACTCCTGTTACTACAAATATTAACTTTTTTTGGATTTTATTTTTACAATAGTAATGATGAATAATGCATCTTCAAACTGGTGTCTCAACCTTACTGCCAACTTTTCTCGTTCAGGAAAAATTGCCACTTATTTCCCAACCAAGTATTCCAAAGTAAAACTTTGCTCAACTTTAACTGGCTGTACTGGAAAAAAATGCACTACGAGAGTTTGGCAAGTAACCTTAAAAGTTGGCGCATTTAATAACGATTCCAAAATGGTATAACACTTAGAAGATTACTCGTTAACTTATGCACAATTTTTATTTGAAAAAAAACTGATGAAAATTTTTCAAAATTTTGTAATTAAACAGCGATTATGAAAACGCACAAGGACCCTTAAGGATAACTGTTTGCACAACAATGGGCGTCAAAATGCTGCTGATGATGATTTACCTTTGCAGCAAATGCTCAAACTTTTCCTTCAGCCGCAATACACGCTCGACATCTTCTTAAAAAAGATCGGGTTATTAAACGAGCGACCACGGTTATTAACAAACTCAGCTGCTTCCAATAGTCTTTGCCGTAGCTCAGCTACATTTTGAATCGGCTTGAAATACACTTTTTCTTTTACAGTTCCCCAGTAAAAAAATCTAAAGGATTCAAATCAGGTGATCGGGCTGGCCACGGTATTGTACCAGACCGCCTTATCCATCTGCTTGGAAAGTTTTGATCGAGATACTCTCTCACTGAGAGTGCCTAGTGCGCTGGGCAGCCATCATGCTGAAACCACATGTTCCTGTAAATACTCAGTGGCACGTCCACCAATAAATTTTGTACATGATTTTTCAAAAAATCCAAATAAACTTCAGCAGTCAAAGTCTCTGGGAACTCAAACGGACCGATTATTTTACCATTTAAAATTCCTGTTCAATGGTTTATCTTGAAGCGATATTGAGATTTATCTTCTCTCATCAAATGTGGGTTTGCTACGTGCCACTCGTGTAAGTTATGCAGGTTCATGTACCCATCTTTCTTAAATGTGGTCTCATCCGACCATAAAATTTTTTCAAAGAACTGTGGATCTTTCCTGAGTCTTTCTAACATTGTGCGACAAAAAGCAACTCGGGGCTCATAATCCCGGGGCAGGAGAGGTTGAACACGCTGTATGTGGTATGGATGAAGCACATCACTTACTTGCTATTGCACACTTTGATACCGATCAGTACTCCTTCGTTTACTGCGCATCTTTACATGTTCGTGCTTGCTGATTTCGTACTGTTACTAATTTTGGATTCGTGAACTGGACTGTTGATCGCTTATGATTTGGATTTGGACTGTTTAATTGCTCTTCAAAACATTTGCTTTCCTTAGACTATCTTTGATAGTGTGATTGTGCAGTGCCGCTATGTCCGTGTACACCGTACAAGAATATGCTAACATGCACCTCATTTATGGGAAATGCAGATGCAACGCTAGTGCTGCAGCGAGACTTTACTGTGAGAGATACCCGAATGCAGCTCGTCATCCAGATCATCGAGTGTTCAGAAATGTGCACCGCTTACTGTTCTCAGAGGGCCAACTACCAAACCAATCACACGGTGAGGGAAGATCTTTCCTTCCTTACGAAGACGTGGTGCTAGGTGCTGTCGAAGAAGACCCGAGTACTTCAGTGCGTGCAATAGAACTAAGAACAGGTGTGCCCAAAAGTACAGCCCATAGACTCTTGCATAAAAAACGTGCTCCATCCATACCACGTATAGTGTGTTCAAGCTCTTCTGCCCCGGGATTATGAGCCCCCAGTTGCTTTTTGTCGCACAATGTTAGAAAGACACAGGAAAGATTCACAGATCTTTGAAAAAATTTTATGGTCGGATGAGACCACATTTAAGACAGATAGGTACATGAACTTGCATAACTTACACGAGTGGCACGTAGCAAACCCACATTTGATGAGAGAAGATAAATCTCAATATCGCTTCAAGATAAACCATTGGACAGGAATTTTAAATGGTAAAATAATCGGTCCGTTTGAGTTCCCAGAGACTTTGACTGCTGAGGTTTATTTAGGTTTTTTGCAAAATCATTTAGAAAATTTATTGGAGGACGTGCCACTGAGTATTTACAGGGACATGTGGTTTCAGCATGATGGCTGCCCAGCGCACTATGCACTCTCAGTGAGAGAGTATCTCGATGAAAACTTTCCAGGCAGATGGGTAGGGCGGTCTGGTACAATACCGTGACCAGCTCGGTCACCAGATTTGAATCCGTTAGATTTTTTTTACTGGGGAACTGTAAAAGAAAAAGTGTATTTCAAGCCGATTCAAAATGTAGCTGAGCTACGGCAAAGACTATTGGAAGCAGCTGAGTTTGTTAATAACCGTGGATTCACTCGTTTAATAACCCGATCTTTTTTAAGAAGATGTCGAGCGTGTATTGCGGCTGAAGGAAAACAGTTTGAGCATTTGCTGTAAAGGTAAATCATCATCAGCAGCATTTTGACGCCCACTGTTGTGCAAACAGTTATCCTTAAGGGTCCTTGTGCGTTTTCATAATCGCTGTTTAATTAGGAAATTTTGAAAAATTTTCATCAGTTTTTCTTCAAATAAAAATTGTGCATAAGTTAACGAGTAATCTTCTAAGTGTTATACCATTTTGGAATCCTTATTAAATGCGCCAACTTTTAAGGTTACTTGCCAAACTCTCGTAGTACACTTTTTTCCAGTACAACCAGTCAAAGTTGAGCACAGTTTTACTTTGGAATACTTGGTTGGGAAATAAGTGGCAATTTTTCCTGAACGAGAAAAGTTGGCAGTAAGGTTGAGACACCAGTTTGAAGATGCATTGTTCATCATTACATTGTAAAAATAAAATCCAAAAAAAGTTAGTATTTGTAGTAACAGGAGTTGACAGACTGCCGTAGGGTGTGAAATTTCTATATTTTCCTATAATTTTCAAAACACATACATAAAATTTTTTTAAATATTTTTCTGATAGCTGTTATGACTTTGCCTATCACCCGGTTTCGGCTTGACGTCGACTTCTGGGACACCCTGAATATGCCAAGTTCAATTATAGATTTAACTGAAGTAATAGACTTCAGTTTCAACCCGAGAGGGGGAAGGTCGAGATCTCTTATAGTATAACTCATTTTGTTGAATGATTAATATGTACTTGAACTTTGTATACAGCTTTATTTTGGTGTTCATCTTTCTCACATTTCGCTCCATAAGTTTTCTTTGCTTTGCACAAAAATAAGTTGACATCTGATACTACAAAGCGTTCTTTACGTGCGATATCCTTTCGTTTTGCCATAGATCCAAATACTCTTTTTCTCATTCGAGTGTTTCACAAATACGGGATATTTTATTGAGAGATATAAAATATATACACTGAAAAGCAAATTTGTCCGACGCCTTGTGTTCAATGTGTACGAGAGAGAAGTATGTATAGACACATATGTTAAAAAGAGATAGAAGCCAAATAGGAAGCGAAGCTCATCGACGCGTTGCCTAGCAACGCTGACTGCCAATATTTTACACCAGTTCCTTGAATTAAGGTGCATATTGAAAATATGCGTTAGTTCATTCTGTATGCTTAAATAATGGCTACATTTCGAGCGTACACATATTTCAATTGTGTACAATCAAAGATAATTCTACCATAAATTAAAACGTTAAGTCGCATTTCGCGTTTCGGAATTTCCCACTCAAAAATGCAGCAATTGCGAAAGCAAAGAAGAATTAAAAAACGTTTGTCGGACTCACCGAAAGGAAGATGTATGCAATGTTTCAGGTATACAGGGTGGCGCATCGAAAACGAAACAGACACATTTACTGGCAGCTCAGTTTTTTTTGGAAAAACGCTCAGGCCCCTGGGCGGGGGTGACACCAACCCTAAAATCTTAAATGGAAAGGGGGGTCGAATGATACCTTATTTTAAAGGTCTCTCAATTCCCTTTATACTGATGTGAAATACACGAGCTTCAGTTCAGTAGTTTTGAAGATTTATTCATTTAAAGCTTAAAGTAGACTTTAATAGGTACATCAGATTAGTTTGTACTACTTTCAGAAGAAATTTGACTAAAAGAATTTACTTAATAAGTAAATGCTTTTCTTCACTACGCTCATGGTTTGTTTAGCATTTTGTTGTTGAAAATAGCTATTGCAGCGTTTTTTTTTTGTGGCAAAAACGTTATTTCTTGAAGAAAGATAAGGAAATATCTCGTACTTATTTTAAATAGGAATTTAGTACATAGTTTGCGATTGATTTGACGAAACTTTGTTGCTAAAATAACTTGTAACGCTTTATTACATAAATTAACCATCGTATATTCCACAGCAGAAAGAGTAGAAATTATCGAAATATTTTTCGGAAATAATCAGTGCGCTAATAGAACAGCAGAAATATTTAATGAGCGACATGATAACAGTAACGTGAATCGAAAATATGTTCTAGAACTTGTAGCTAAATTTCGGGAAATGCGTCTGTTTCGTTTTCGATGCGCCACCCTGTATATTAATCATTCAATAAAATGGTTTATGTACTGCGTACTTTTCGTCGAATCGGCGACAGTTATAGGTTACAATCAGTGACCATCCAACGTAAACTTAATCCACAAACTCGAACCTTAAAGCGCCCCGCTACCCGCGAACCATTCACAACAAGAGAAGATCTGGCAACAGTGTACTCACCTGGTCCTGCGATGCGAGAGTAAGCATGAAACAAAACAATGTATAATCAGCTTGAGGTAGTCAGTTCGTTCGACGCGGTTGCGCAGGTAACACTTTCTTATTCGGAGTCGCCCGAGCGCAAGTCTGCGACCGGTTCGAATCGTTTCGCGAGTAACACCTTTTCCGTTCGAAATACGCAACCGGAAGTGACCGGATATTACACACTGGTTGTGTAAGAAGTCTTCAGCGTTGCTGTTTTTACCGGTAAGCTATAATTACCAGAAAACCAATTATTGCGGGACGTGATTTATCGTTCATGTCGACTTCCACGTCTTTTAGCATAACAAACACTGACAAAACGTGGAGAATTGAACAGTTGCTCTGAGAAGTAATAAGTTTTTTAATTACTCCAAGTATCTAAATTCAATTAAACGGAATTTTCTGGAACCAGTGTAATTGACAGTAACGTACTATTAAACTAGTTTGCTTCAAAAAGGCCAGCTATGTACCTGTTTTCTTAAATTAATAATGATAATAATAATAATAATATTTATTCACTCAATGTACAAAGATAACAAACAATATGAGTAAATAAATATAAAATCAAAACAGGCCCAATAGAAGGCATCGCCTGTACATGGACCAATAGTTTAAGTTGAAACTGTAGAATGCAAATGACAAAAAAGGACAAAAATTAGCTACAGTAGATTATGTATTTAGTTGATGTTCGTATTTATGAGTTTATGAATTTCAGTCCTAGATATAGAATGTAGACACTTTTTTAAATTTCTTTTGAAACAATTTCCGAAACGTAAATCTATTAAGTCTTTAGGTATAATTTCATAAAATTTAGGCGCTAAATAGAGATATGATCGCTGCATTATAGATTTATGCGGTTGAGGAACTACTGTGCCACGAATTTTGTACCTGGTATAATGATTATGTTTATTTTTTTGGTCGGTGTTTACAAATTTATGGTAGTGAGTGATACTGTGTAAGAAATAAAGCTGTCTTATATCATACATTCGAACATCTGCGTATAATTTTTCAGTGGGATAAAGTTTCGGTTTTTTAAATATCATTTTTAGAATACTTTTTTGAAAAACATCTAAATTATAGATATGTGAGGAACATGCAGCTCCCCATGCTAATATACCATATGTGAGATGAGGCTCAATCAGTGCATGGTATAATGTTTGAAGATATTTTTCTGTCAATATATTCCCAAGGTATTTAATTTTGTAGGATACAAATCTAACTTTCTTTAAAATATAATTGACATGGATGTCCCATCGTAAGTGAGGATCCAAGACCACTCCAAGGTATTTTATGTTGGGCACTCTATTAATTTGCATTTTTTGATCATTAATATTGAAGGAGAAATTTGTGTAATTTGGCAGATGTCTAGCATAAGATCCAAATGGTAAAAAATGTGTTTTAGAGTAGTTAATGCTTAATTTTCTACTGTTAAACCACTGAATAATTTTGATAAAATCATTTTCAATTACATTTTTCAGATCAGACCAGTCAGTGCCTTCATATAATATTGCAGTATCATCTGCAAAACTAGTTATTTTGCCAACACAATTAATTTGGAAAATATCATTTAAATATATATTGAATAACAGCGGACCTAAGACAGTTCCTTGTGGGACACCACACTTAATATACATTTCTTTACTAAATGATCCTGATATCTGCACAGATTGTGGGCGATTTGACAAATAACTTTCGATCAGTGAGTACGCGTTTCCTCTGAAACCAATTCTCTCCAATGCTTCTAATAATAATTTGTGATTAACTGTGTCGAAAGCTTTCTTTAAATCAACAAAAATGCAGATTGAAGGGATTCTGTTATCAATATTTTGATGTATTTGATTTACAATTTTAGTTATTGCGTCCGATGTAGCCTTCCCTTCTGTAAATCCATAATGATTTTCACTTAAAATTTTGAATTTTGTGAGGTATCGAATCATTCTAGTAGATAAAACTTTTTCAAAAACCTTTGCTACACTGGAGATTATTGATATTGGTCTATAGTTGTTAACATCTGTTTTTGTTCCTGATTTATGAATCGGTATTATATTACCTTTTTTAAAATTGAGGGATATATGCCAGATTCAAAGCATTTGTTGATTAGGTAAGTGAGTGGTGGTTCTGTTATGTCCTCGGCTATAATTTTCAAATGCTCGCTTTTAATACCATCGAACCCAGGACTTTTCCGATTTTTTAAGGACATAACATTGCTCGACATTATCCAAAATAAATTAGTTCAAAGTTCTTTTTGGAGGCTGAGTATTTTGTACATTTGCTTGTATATTACTTGCTAAATTTTCGCCTATGTCAGTAAAGAATTGTACAAATTCATCGCATATCTGTTGAGTATTTTTTAATACTGTTCCCGATGTTGAATTTAACTCAGTGACACACTCTTTAACTTTTGTTTTCCCAGTAATCTCATCAATAGTTGTCCAAAGCCGCTTAGGATCATTTAAGTTATTATTCAATTTATTTAGGTAATGTTTTCGTTTGGTTTGCCTTACAAGCTCTATAAATTTATTTTTATTGTTTAAATAGTTTAGGTAATTTAGTTTATGTAGGAAAATTACATTACAAACAATTAAAGGTTTTAATAAAAACACTTAAACTGTTTGAATCGCGGACTCGTCCATTCATTCGGGAATGATCGGGAGTATGCGACAGACGCAGTGTCGGTAACGCGCATCGAACTCCTCAGTTTCGTTTGTGATTTTCGGGAGGAGCTTCATATTCGAATGTTACTGTTCTTAAATTCGCTGTGAAGTGGATCGATTATGGTGATCAAGTGAAATATTGGAACATAAGGCGCTTAGTGATCCGTAATCATGGTTAGAATATCTTTCGCTCCAAATGAAACATTGTGTATACACAGGGGAGTCATCGTTGACGTGACGTAATGAGAAGAACTTTTAACTTTATGTAGCATTTTTTATGTCAATGAAGGGCATTTATACCAAATTCTACCAGCGGTTTCTAGAGCTTAAAATAGGAAGAAAAGTTGATATAAACATAGGTCGATAAACGTCCCCTAAGGACGCTACGGTCTTTTAAAGGGGCTCCCCTGAGGATGGTTTTTCCTTAATATTTCCGAAACGTGTTGAGATAAAGACATACAATTTGGTATTCAGGCCTAGTTTTTTATGCTGGATTTAAAAATTTTAACAACTTTAGACAGTTTTGTTTAGAAGCGTACGTAACAGGGACGGACTCAGGTTATTTAGCCCTAAAATTTTTGTGTGATTCTATTTTTGAAATTTAATTTACGAATTTGAAAATTTAGAGTTTTGTACATAAAAAAGGTACTCTTATTGAATATCGATAAATTGTGCCATTTTTGAATAAAATCAAACTAAAAAATGTGTCACATGATAGGAAATGTACTGCGAATTTAAATAGGAAGTGGAGCCTCCTGTTGTAGTATTTGGAAATATCCTAGTGTGTTTAAAGCGCGTCGAATTTATTTATGTACCTGCGTGTGGGTGAGTGCAGTATTGCTTTATTATTATATAAATAAAAGTTCAATTTTTGTACGCATCACCAAGTGGCCTTATTCAATCTCAGGTATCTATTTCCTTACTTTCAGGATTTAAAACAAAGAATTGCTTCTAGTGAATGGTGATATATTATAACCTCTTTCTGGACAAACAGAGAAGTAGTTGGTTCAACTTGACACCGTATATAAGTTCACAATCAATAAAAATAAAAAATCACGAATTTTGTTGGAGCTATAAAATGTGGCAGTTATTATTTTGATTTGAAAACATCAACTATCAATATCAAGTTCTGTGAAAAAATCAGTAAAATTTGTCCGATTCTTTTTTTAAATAACGTTAGGTGATAGAAGACTATGACGGCATATCCAAGACTTCCATGTTTCTTGTACTGTAAATTCCAGAATTTATAGAACTAAGATTGTCCAGGTGTGACAACGGTTTCGTTTAACTTTATCTGTTGAAGTTGCACCTATATTTCAGAAAATCTTCGTTTGTAGCGAAATATGACACACCAGCAAAACTGCATATACTCGGCCATTCACCAACGGTGTAAATTAGTTCCTCACCGTGCTTTCATCAAAACTGTCCTCGTGTAGTAGTTCATTAATTTTTTTTGCCAAAGTTCTGTTAACTGATAATTTATATTCCAGTACAAGTAGAATTGGGTCATTCGGTACTTTTTTGTCACCGCGGACCATGACAAAATGCGAAGGTAATGGTCACTAAACTGTTGTCGTACGGTTTTAATTGCCGTGTTCTTTTCGGTGGACAACTGTTACGACAGGTCCACGTGCAAATTAAGGAGTTGTTCTTTGAATCGTTTGCTTCCTTTCAGAAGGAAACAGTTGCATCTTCATGCTAATATGATCCTGACGTTGTTCTGAAACCAAAGTGAAATAGAAACGAATCTTTCTGGATGTGAAACAAACGAACGTTTCGTTTACTTCCCAGCTTTCACGAACTTTGTGCCAAAGTGGCCGCATTTTTCAATGAACGCCTCGGCGCGAAACGTAAATAAACCCGTCGCAGAGCAAGAACAATACTTTCCGGTTTCCACTTTAACAAAGGTAACTTCCATTCATGCCCCATCACTTTAAAAATTTATTCCGCTTGCCATAGGCGTTCCAGGTGGAAGCCAGTCAGCTAAAAACTAAGAGCAGAAATACTTTTATTCAGCTTATGTTGTTTGTGACTTGTGTGGGTTAGGTACATTTTGAAATTGTACTCCCTTCCTGAAATTCGAGTTGTCAGTTTGGAATGCATATCATTCCTAACCTCAAAATGGTTAAACGTGTGCCATTATTATTGATATCAATTTATTTTTGTATTGCATGTATCAAGCAAAAACATTTATTGTTCCACTAGGAGACGCTGTCATCTCACACTCGGTGAATATGAGCCGTTTTACACACAAGAGAATTACTCCGAAAATTACGGTCATAATTATGCCGAAAATTTTTGCTGTCGTATTACACGTAAAAGAATTGTTACGAAAATTTTTATGGTAAAAATATAAAACCCGTTGTATAGAATATGCGCGAGAATCGGCGCAGAGGGTTATTTCCGTGCATGTTATTATCAAATGTCAAGTCAACACAGTGTTGCCAGAAGTAGCGGAATTCCGCTACTGGTAGCGGAATTTTCAAGTGGTAGCGGCGGAATTGGATTTTTTGTTAAAAGTAGCGGAATTTTGCAATTT